CTCTCATAGTTCGTCTCCCCCTCCGATTCCCCCCCTTCATTCTTCCCCTCCTGCTACCTTCTTCTTTTTTTTTTTTTTTAACATATAATGTATTATTTGTTTCAGAGGTGCAGTCAACAAAACCAAAAGAGGTTTGGTTTTTAACATGTTAAATTTGAGATGCGTCCTAGATGTCCGAGTAGAGAGGTTGATTAAGCAGTGGGAGGGTTAAGTTCATGGGAGAGGTACGGAAAGGTATACTAGTGGTATAACTAGGTAGATGGTTTTTAAGACTGTGGAACTGGAAAATAATCACTTACAGAGTGTAGACGGAAGTGAGTTCTGAGACTGCATTCTGGAGCACTTCTCCAACCTCAAAATCTTATCCTGTGCTTTTTTATCCTCCATGAACACTCCTTTGGCGACAAATAGCTCATATTTTAATATAAGTTCAATTTGGCACTTACTGAGAATTATCTCGTACAAGCATTATGCCAGCCACCTTAAGCTGTTCAAATATGAAAAAAATTTCTGTTCTCCAGAAGGCGGAGGATCAGAGGCGAGGAAGAAGACTCACTTTCATGGAGTAAATACACTTATGTCAGAGACTTGCCAGTGGTAGTTTATTTAATCCTTTCCAATAACTATATGAGGTGGGAATTATTGCCCCCATGAGGAAATTAAAGTTCAGTAATGTGCCCCAAGTCACAAATTACTTAGTTGGTAGCATGCCAGCATTTGATCAACATTGATCCAACACTGAGCCTATTGTACTGTCTGGTTTCTGAAACTCCTAAAATAGCTGAAGATTCAGACACATATGAAAGGCAGTGGACTGGCATAATCACACTAACCGAGATTCAGATAGTGTGCTGAGAGAAGAGAAGGACAGGCAGATCACTTTAATATTTGGGAACTGCTTTGAGTTAACTGCTTTTTTCCTCATAAAGAAGCCAGAATGTTAGTTTCCTTTTTTTGTGTGAAGGAACACTCTTTTTGTGGAAGGAAGGGGAGCACTTGCACACATCCACACAGCTCATTTGCTTATAAAACCTGAATTAAATGAAAAGACTTTTTGGGGAAACTGAGTGTCTCAGTCGGTTGGGCATCTGCCTTCAGCTCAGGTCATGATCTCAGGGTCGTGGGATCGAGCCCCGCATCTGGCTCTCTGCTCAGCAGGGAATCTGCTTCTTCCTCTCACTCTCCCTCTCTCTCAAATAAATAAATAAAATCTTTAAAAAAAAAAAAGACTTTTAATTTCAGGTAGGGACTGGTTTTTGCCAAGCATTTTTAAAAATTAAATGTGAAGTATTCTGTGCTAAAATGGAAACTCAATTTATTTATGTGTCTCTTGTGAAGAAATTGAAATGTTCTTCCTTCTAGTTAATTGTAACACGTCACATTACATCTTTGGTTTTTATTCACCTGTCTGAGAACATGGTAACAGTAGAAAGACTCTTCCTGATTCTAAATAAGAGTCAGCTTGTTTACTTAACATTTGTGTACTCAAGTAGCTCACACTCTCTTCAGGCCAGACTGAAACCAGAGAACATGAAAACAAGCCATGTTCAGCCCTCGCAGAGCTGCTTGGTTGAGCTGCCTCACACCATGTGACCTCAGAGGTGGCCTCCGAATCCTGACCTGAGCTCTGAGATCATCCCACATTTCACTTGCATAATGAAATATACTCTAGCAAGTGTAGAATAGTCCAGTCTGGCCTGGAGGTGACTGCTACAAGCTGTCGTTAAGTTCTTCAGAGCTATTGCAAGGATGCTCTGGGAGGGTGGGGGGAGTGAGATGACGTCACCCGAGGGAAGCTAGGTTCCCTGTGAATATCGACTCACAAATGCAGTGCATACTGGAACAACTTTGTGGTTGAATTCTCTTACACCTATGTTCTTAACATGAGAGTTCATTCCTAGGGTGGGAGTCCCTTTTGTAAGAAAAATACTTCCAGGCCATGGCAGAACTAAGAGCAGAAAGACCCATCAAGGAATAGTAGTACACACATAGCAATCCTTCTTAGCCATCATGCCAACAGAGAAAATGCCTTTGATATCAAATATCATATATAAATTCAAATGATGGTGACTTTGGAGAGAAGTAGATGCTGTGCAGGTTACTGGTGGTCATTTTGGTAGTTAACCTGAGGTCTAGGTCTTCAACACTCTGAGGTTCCTATATAACTTTGGAATTTTCTTTCCTGTTCATTCCCAAGAAATCTTAGATAATGATTGGGTGAGTGAGAAATATATTCATACTTTCAAAAATAATTGTTTCTAATTTAAGAACAAGATCATCTGTCACAGTGATTACCATTAGTAGTTTAAACATTTTCTTTTTCCGTTTTATTTTTTTTTTAGTAATCTCTTCACCCAGTGTGGGGCTCACACTCACAACCCCAACATTAAGAGTCACATGCTCTACCAACTAGCCAGCCAGGGGCCCCTAAACATTTCTAAAAGAAAAAAAGCCTTTCACATTGGATCTAGAAAATCTTAACTATGACTGTTGAATCTGGGTTCATTATAAACGTTCTCTCTTTACCTATGTTTGAAATATTCTATTCTAAAATGTTTTTAATGCTGTTTGTATCCAATTTTATAAATTTTGGGGGGGGTAAAAAAATATATAAAAACGTAAACAAAAAAACCTATTACTTTAGAACACTACTCCTAAAACAAAATTACAGAGAGATTGTATAGAGGCAGCGTGCATGATACAAAGTTAAGTGAAAACTCTAAAATATAAAAAATGCCTGTAGTGGGCGCCTGGGTGGCTCAGTTGGTTAAGCAACTGCCTTCGGCTCAGGTCATGATCCTAGAGTCCTGGGATCGAGTCCCACATCGGGCTCCCTGTTTGGCAGGGAGTCTGCGTCTCCCTCTGACCCTCCTGACCCTCCTCCCTCTCATGCTCTCTGTCTCTCATTCTCTCCCTCGCAAATAAAAAAAGAAAAAAATGCCTGTAGTAAATACGTACCCACATATGTACAGTGCACGCATGGGCATGCACGTGCGCGCGTGCACACACACACACACACACACACACACACAAATATACCAAGATGTTAACAAAGGGAGATTAGATTGTCCTCTTATTTGTATCTGTCTGTGGATTCCAAACGCTCTACAATGAACATGGTGTTCCTTTTATAATCAGAAAATATTTGTTAAATAAAGGACCACGATGGTGTGTTTGAAAGAATGAATAAAAGATAAAAAAATTAAGGTTTACTTAATTTGCAGTCGATCTCTTTATAGGAGCAATCACCATGGCTTTGTTAGAAAACCTGGTGGCAGGAAACGTGTACATTGTCAAGATATCTGCATCCAATGAGGTGGGAGAAGGACCCTTTTCAAACTCGGTGGAGCTGGCAGTCCTTCCGAAGGAAACCCCTGATTCTAATCAGAGGCCCAAGCGTTTGGATTCTGCCGATGCCCAAGGTCTGTACGCCACCACAGTTACTGAGCTTTCTGAAGAACGTTCAGTGTTTCTTCAGCTCTCCTGCACTGTATTTCTGCTCCTCCCTGCACTTGGTCTATTGAATTGTTGCCGGTGCGGTTCTGATGCTGTGAAGCTACGGGCTGTCCCTTGCCCTCCACAGGGAGACCAGCTTACCTCCCAGTCAGCTGCCGTTTTCACCACTGTGTCCCAGTTACTCCTCTTCCCAGCTGCACAGCCACCACGACCGAGGAGCCACGGCCCCGAAAACCGATGGGAGTAGCTTCCAGGGAGGGTTCACGGAAATAAACAGCTGCGCTGGCTGTGGTGTTCAAGCTGGTTTTCATTAAGAGTTGTTGCCACAGAAAAACAGCCTTTCTGGAGAGAAAGTTGTTTCTCTCCAGAAAAGCAGTTGGAAGAAGTATCTTTAAAAGAGCCACCCTCAGGGGCACTTGGGTGGCTCAGAGGGTTGAGCGTCTGCCTCCGGCTCAGGTCATGATCCCGGGGTCTTGGTATCGAGCCCCATGTCGGGCTTCCTGGCTCAGCGGGAAGCCCGCTTCTCCCTCTTTCTCTTCCTCTGCCACTCCCCCTGCTTGTGCTCTCTCTCTCTCTCTCTATCTCTGTGTCTCAAATGAATTTAAAAAAAAATCTTAAAAAAAAAAAAGAGCCACCCTCACTCCAGGGCAACTGTCCTGTCCCAAAGGAAGCCAGGGCCCCCCTGTGGTACAGGACAAGAAACCATCTTTTCCTCTTCTTGGGGTGGGGGGAGTGCGCCTGCAGAGGGCGATGGGGCTTTAAATGGAGGAAATGTCAGCTGAACTCAACAGGATTAAGGGTAGCTCCTCAGATGCCTCAGTGCCGCGTGTGTGTGTGTGTGTGTGTGTGTGTGTGTACACGTACGTATGTACGTACGTACACAGATGGGTTTAAGCATTGGAGGGAGGCAGCAGTGGTAGCTCCCTTATCATGGGAAAAGGAGAGCAAGGCTCATAGTCACTTCTCAAATACCTGCTACTCAGAGTGTCTATGGACCAGCAGCATGAGTATTCCCCAAGAGCTTGTTAGATGTGCAGAATCATGGGCCCCACCCCAGACATAGTGAATCAGAATCTGTATTTTAACATATCCCCTAGTGATCATGTGAACATTAAAGTTTGAGGAGCACTGCTATGTAAATGCAGACATGGACACGGGAAACTCGTCTTTAATATACAGATCTGCTTTTAAGGTAACATGACATGAAAGTTACCGTTTGGTTCAAGAAACGTCTATGCTTTGTGCCTTTTAGCATTATAAGGTGTTAACTGATGTTTGTGTTTCATATAATAATACAGCATTTAGAATTGGTAATTTGGAATCTTCAGTATGGGAATATATAAACTGATCTTTGAGATCACTGATAAAAAGAGTAATACGTGTCTTTTCTGCTTGGACACATACTGTCAAACATTTTCCTCGGAGAGGAAGAAAAATTATAGAAAAGCAAATAGCTATCTTAGAATTATAATAAATGGACTCATTTATTTTTCTGATTGATACTGAGTAAATGTGTTTCTGCTTTTAGTTTATTCAGGCTATTACCATCTGGACCAAAAATCAATGACTGGCATTGCTGTAGGCGTTGGTATAGCCTTGACCTGCATCCTCATCTGTGTTCTCATCTTGATATACCGAAGTAAAGCCAGGTGTGTTCCCGTGGAGAGACATGTTGAGGTGGTTAAAAAACATTTAAATTACAGTAACCACCAGAAGCAAATTGAAATCCAGTGCCTTCTAGAGTAACTGGGATTTTCCACTTTCAAATAATGTTACTTGAGTTCTTTTTTTT